AGCCTAGTCGATGTGGCCTTTTCAGATAAGATGTTTACCATACAATACCGCTCACAGAATGTGCAAAATTTCCGTAAATGTCGCGAAATTCCGAAAATATCGCGAAATTCCGAAAATTCCGTGAACCCGGAATTTCGCGAAGTTTCGCGAAATTCCAGGAATATCTCGGAATTTTCGGAATTTTGCGATATTCACGGAAATTTTGCATATTTTGTGAGCGGTATTGTATAGTAATATCATAAGTGGGCGGGGCTTACAGTTCACAGCTAAAAAGAGAAATATCGATATTTTGGAGGTTAATGAACCACAAAATCGACAAAAATCGATAAAATCGATATCCTGGAGGTTTCGAAATACCGAAAATTGACAAAAATCGATAAAATCGATATTTTAAAGGTTGCGAAACCCTGAAAATCGACAAAATCGATATTCTGAGGGTTGTGAAATCTCGCAAATTGATAATCGATAAAATCATATTCTGATGGTTTCGAAATCCCGAAAAATGACAAAAATCGATATCCCAAAAATCGGCAAAATTGATAAAATCGAAATTTTGAAGGTTGCGAAATCCCGAAAGTTGACAAAAATCGTTATCCCAAAAATTGGCGAAATTGATAAAATCGATATTTTGAAGGTTGCAAAACCTCAAAAATCGACACAAATTGATAAAATCGATATTTTGAAGGTTGCAAAACCCCAAAAATCGACACAAATCGATAAAATCGATATTCTGGAAGTTTCGAAATTTCGGAAGTTGGTAAAATTATTGAACAACTAAGCGAAAAATTCGAAAAACTCCATAATAAGCTCATTTCCAGTGCTTTTATATAGCTGAAACTTTTCCAAGCAAGCTCCGCCCACTTTATACTCCACATCACGATCGAAATTGAAGAAAATAAGAAAAATTAAAGAAAAATAAGCGAAAATCGCGTTTTTCTAGCCCGATTTACCCCCTTTCTAGCCGTTTTCAGCCCCATAACCAGGTCCAGATGGTCGCGGGTAACTATCATACGCGCTGCAGAAATAAAGAGAGGGGAAGAAATGAGGGGGGAGAAAGAGGAGAAATTGCGAGACCCTGAACTAAAAAAACGTCCGGGAAGGTTTATAGATGGGCTCCCACAGGCGGAGCCCCTGCATTTTCTCCGAATTATATGTGCTGTCCCCCTCGAATATAACTGAAGAATGGCTATCCCAGCCTCTCAGACAATCGCTGGGGGCAGGCGGGCACCGGAAAAATAGATTGCTGATTTCTCGCACCCCGCCCGCGGATTTTTTGCAAAGCAATCAGGACTTTTCGGAAGACCGCTTGCTGCGTCAGCGGATTTTTGAGAGACCGCCTCTTGAATTTTTTTCGCTCTTATCTTTTGCAGATATATTGCTGAATCTCTGAGGAATCGAGAACTCAGCAAGCGGTCTTCCGAAAAGTCCTGATTGCTCTGCTAAAAATCCGCGAGCGGGGTGCGAGAGATCAGCAATCTATTTTTCTGGTGCCCGCCTGCCCCCGGCGATTGTTTGAGCTGTTATCCCTACTCTCCACGGAGATAAAATTCAAAATATGCATCATCGCCTTATATAGTGCCTCCTACGGTGGAGCTACAGCCATGATCTATTCCTAGAAAAATAGAGCTATCAAAAGTACATATCAATGGCCACATGAGATTACCCCAACCCTACAATTTGCAGAGATATAAGGGCGCAAACTCGACTTTATGGACAGATTTCCCAAGTTCAGCTGTCAATTAGGCACTTTTATTGGAAACTTGTTATTCTACGACCTTCTCTCTAAATATCATATTTTTAGGGATCTGTCCAATAAAACAAACTTTAGCCTCATATCTGTAATATTCGCAGAGTTATTAGCCCCCCAACGTGCATGCTCAGGCCGTAAATTCGGCTCTCCCAAAGTTGCTCCGTAATTCCCCCAAAAATCATGTTAGACACCTCTCTCATACCTATTCACCCCATACTTTTTCCGGCTTTTTAGAAGCAATACACACTGATATAGCGCGCTCTTAGCCTCTCGCTCCTCACTCTTGGCCTCGGCGCAAGATTTGCTCAAAATATTGAGGTTCTCGGATTGGCCGTAAACTTCACTCATAGTGGTTTTTGGTCCCGATCTTTACGAAAATCCTATTTATTTTGCACTAGAGAGTCTTACAGTAAAGCTAAAGTGAGATAGAAGTAGCTAAACCAATCAAGATGGCAACTTCGCCTGCACTTTTCGCCTACCTGTTGCGGAAATTGTCCGCAAATTTTTGTGAGTTCAAAACTTTGTGAACACCTCTATCGGACCATGCTTAGCACAGATCTTTATTTGAATTGTTCGTCAGATTATGACGTTACAAAATCGTCTTCTCATGAATTGTCTTTCAAATTCGAAAGTCGTGTTGGCAGATATTCTATCCTACAATGTGTCATTAGCAGCAAAACAATGTAAGAAATGTTGTTAGCACGTCGAGTACAATACCGCTCACAGAATGTGCAAAATTTCCGTAAATGTCGCGAAATTCCAGGAATATCGCGGAATTTTCGGAATTTTGCGATATTCACGGAAATTTTGCATATTTTGTGAGCGGTATTGTACTCTCAGTTAAAAAAATGCGCTCCACTTGGCCGCTGCATTTGAAGTTTAGTAAGATCTTTGCAACTTATTTTATGCTAAACGCACATTTAGGGTTTTTATTTTCAAATAAAGGCTCATAACTCCTCGTCCACAAACGTTTCGAAGATAGGGAAGGCGGATTTGAAATCGCAGTTTTATACTCTTCGGTATAGTATACGTTCCCTTCAAAAGGTCACTTTGACTAAACATGGTTCACTTGTAAGTTAGATGATTTGCGAACGCACAGGAATCATTCGCCGTTATTCTCAACGAGATCAAATGTTTCTTCTGCGCTCACGAAAAATCCATGCCTTCCACTCGTCTGTGGATGAGATGGTAACAGAGTAATTTCGAAGAATCAAAGCACTGATCTGATAACTGGCTGTTCTACGGCTATTGATTAAAGAAAGCTGAATTGTTTGATCTATTTATCTTAACTAGAAGAACCAGGCAGGGCTCGGGACGACCTGGCACCAGGGAACTTTCAAAGCGAAGTCCCCCTTAAGTCTCCCTAGTCAATCTCTGGTCCTACTTCAGAGCATTAGGTTTACGGTATTGTAAAAATGTTTAAGTATTTAGAGGTGTTCTGAGATATTGAGGGCTGTGTCTTACCTCAGAAAGTGACAAGTCGTCTAAAAGCTATTACACTAATCTCATCACGTTCTGACTTCTTAATCAGAGCTTTTGCTCTATCACAATACTTCGTTCATCTGTTATGTGCCAGTACATCAGTAGTGTGATGGAAGATTTTTTTCAATGTTTGATTCTTCCATTCAGAATGATTCACACATTCGTAATGTTGTAGGGCCAGCGTTCGTTCAGTGTTACGAATTTTCAAAATTTGAAACGACGGCCAATTCACATTTGGCTATACATGGTGGAGATCTTCGCCACAATCCTTCAGTAGTGAACAACGATCAATCATGCTTTGAGTGAGCATAGTAGAATAAATCTGCAGCTTTCAAATAAAATACTTTCACTTTGAGGCTTCGGACAGAGTTCACGCGATTTGATCGTCGAGATTCACTCGCTAAAGACAAGTACGAGTTTATCGCATGTCGATCTTCTCGTGACTAACTATCAAACCGAAGTACAAGAAGACCGGCATGCAATGAACTCGTAACACTTGTCTTTAGCTATTGAATCGCGACGATCAAATCGCGTGAACTCTGTCCGAGGCCTGAGACAGGTAAGCTCATTTCAGACAATTCCTTGCCATGGCTAAACTTATTGTTAGCATATCCTACTTCGTTTCATGTAGGCAGCAATACTTCGAATAGTAACACTTCTTCTTCCTCCCCTCGCCCCACTCCATCCTTCTCCCTGCTCGGAAAGGTCACACATCATAGTAAGGACATTTTCCTAACTTGATATTATTCTATTGAAAAAAGAATGAGTGGCAGCAGCAGCGCGTTCTCCAGACTTTTAGATGCTATCTGTTGAATAACACTAAATGTGTAGACGAACAACATGAACTTGTTGAACAAACGAGAAAAGGACTCGCTTTTATCAGCTGATGAGGGAATAGCGAATTTCTTGCGTTTACATTATACAACTGATCAACTTGCAACGTGGCGCTGGCGATTTTCTATCCGTTGGAGGGAAAGGCTTTAGATCTTGTTAACTGGAACGGCCCAACTTCTAAGCTTTATTTACTCTGACAAAACGTTTTGCTTATTGGGAACTGAAAAGAAGGCAAAGAGCCATCTCTGGCAAATAAATCAGCAACTTTTAGTGTACCATCGTCGATAAATATGTGGCATGTTTGAAGATCTATAACTATAACTAAAAGTTACTTATCTTAGGTTGGCTTTTTGAAACAAAACTCATATATTTAGAATCAGCTCGGAAAGCTGATTCCAAATATGCTGTCCTTAGCTACGAAGCTTTTCTCCAAAGCGAGTTGTAGCTTTTTAGCATGTGTCATTGACATACAACTGAATGTGGAAAAAAGGCTCGTAGCTGAAATCTGCTCAAAAACATGGTGGAAAATTGAAATAACATCAAATTGAGTCATTTGGCCTTGATAGGATGTATTACGCGTTTGAACTGCTACCTAGATGATGATATCGTAGCATCCGTATGTCGGTCAACATGTAAGCTTTGCTCAAGAAAAAAGCTCATAACTTGTTTCAGAGTAATGCTTCGCAGCTATGGATAGCAAATTTAATCAAATTTTGAGCTGATTCTGATTGTAGGTGTGGCTTTTCGAGAGGCCGACCTAAGTTAGGTGATTTTTTTTGTAATGTGAGTTCTTAGCGACCATCACTCAAATACTGTAAACTTTGTAAACTGTGCTTTTGTGTGCATTCATATGTCCAACTTCCAAGTTGCCACAGAACATTTCATTCATAACCACATAGTGCCTTAGAATTAGAATAACGTTGAAGTTGTCTTCCTAAACGTTCACGTATGTTTTGCAAGAAGAATCAACTTCGTCACGTTGAAGAACGTAGTACACACACTGGTCGTTAGGTTTGAGTAGATAGTCTCCAACACCATACAGGGCGCACACGTTCCCTTTCTGCATAGAAGCGATGTTAGGCTCAACTCTATCAAGATATAATATCCATATTTCGTGTTGTCTGAATCACTAAAGCAACTCAAAGGCAGTGTTCAAGCAAAAAGTCGATTTCGAGATTTTGTGCTTACCTGGGCCTATTCGCCATGCTGAACCGAAAATCAACACTGGAGAACGCGAAAACGGCGAAAAACGGAGGAGAAAAATTGCGGTGGACGGGGCTGTTCACATAGTAGCGTCATTCTCCCAGCTTCAGGAGCGATCTTCTCGCTTCCGTTAATCGCCCTAACATCACCACCAGCCAACTGCGAAACGCATGAGATAAAATGGGAACCGAGAAGATAGCTCCTAAAGCCTGGAAGAGTGACGTCATGGTGTGAACGGCCCCGCCCACCTCCGATTTCCCTCCTGCGTTAGGGCCTTTTTTCGCCCTTTTTCGCGCTTTCCAATGTGGTTCTACGGATTCAGCATGGCGAATAGGCCCGGGTAAGCACAAAATCTCAAAATCGAGTTTCTGCTTGGACACTGCCTTCAATCGTTATGCCAAGATTCATTGAAAGTCGAACGTGGAACATTATCCATATTTCAATTTCAACATAAAGTTATAATAAGAGGATCGGTATCATTCATGCAAAAATATGGAAATCGAGTGAAAAACGATAAATGAGATGATAATATGCGTTGGGAGAAAAAGCTGGTTCATTTTTCAATAATTTATCAAAAAGGCATATCGAGATGCAAGAAGTCTCATTGAGTCCACGCTTGAAAATGTCTTCTTATCTCAACTGGCTTGGCTCCTGGAAGGCGGGCTTTGTGACCTAATCCAGGCCGCTCGCGCCCGTAACGCATCTGCGTCTCTTTCACGCGAGTGCTCTCTGATCATTACCTAGGCCCTAATTAGGCCACCTAGTCCCGCCTTCCAGAAGTCAAGCCAGTTGAATCAAATGGTAAGTGCAATGCAGTGCTTGTCAAGAATGCCTGGACAAGAATATTGAGCTCACAGAATAAGTAGGTTTGTTATAGGTAAGAGTGGAAGTTTTGCCTTACTATTGGTTTTACATGGACTGCTGACTATGCCAACTAATCAAAGAGATTGTGTAAAGATACGCAAACATTTTAACTGCGCTAATTTTATTTTCTATGAATGACAAGAAGACTGGGATCTGTAGGCTTATCCTGAAGATAATGAAGATATCACTGAAGATAATGCTATATTGACGGTCTTCTACAGATCTTACCATTACTTTGTGATAGTGCAAGTGACTCACTGGGTAGAATCTTAATGCAGTACAATTCTTGTTCTCATAGCATCCAGCAAAGCACTCATTCAAATCGCACGAAAAGGTCCCAGCAGATTTACCGCGAATCGTCTCCACTTTGTCAAAAATGCATGAGAAGAGACAGTCCTCCTAGAAAAGAATTTTTTTGCAGCTTAGAATAGGAAGATGAGGTGTCTTTAACGTTGAAAATAAACCTGGATAAGGAGCAAAACGAGGGTAAGCCACTTCATCTCTGTGGGAGCTGGCTAGTACCGACTGCTACGCTCGATGCTTTCCAAATGGCTTTCCCATAAATGTTCCATAGATACCAACGAATGGGATGGCGATTTGTTCCCATAAAACTGGATGAATTCACCAAATCTCAATAGGTTTCCTAGGAGAGAGTTTCTGTTTTTTAGGATCATCAAAATTATGAGTCTCAACATTGAGTCTTTTTATCCTATGTGGTTTTTGAGTAGTACGTTTTCAAGTAGTTGTTTTGTGATGCGGTTATGTACAAGTGCAGACTCTGATAGAGGAACATGAACTTACAAATGGAGATGCAAAGACCGTATCAAGCCCTGGTTCTTTTGTTCCTTGCTGGAACTTCATAAGTCTTTCAATAAAGTGATCGGGAAGTAATGGGACACTTCGAAAATTACATCGTTCTTGAGAAAGAAAACTCACTAGACGCTTAAATTTCAATATCGTTCATTCGTTTGCCGCACGAACTGCTCTAACGCTGCGGGCCATGCGCAACGCGGCTGAATCGTCGCGAGAACACGACCTGTACAATGGCGATTTGTACTAGGGCAAGCGTTTTACCTCGCGGCGCGTGCTCTGCAATAATGTCCAGTCCGTGCGATTAACGAATCGACTATAACTGTTAGGGAGTAATTCTCACAGCTCACAGGCAGCGCTCATTGCTTTCCACACACCTGAAATCTATATGAAGCTTCTTGTGTAGTTTTTTATAATTGCTAAAAAGCGAAGTGATTCACTTAACGCGTATCTGGATATTAAGCAGTACCATCTCGAGGTATGTGAAGCCATTTGAAGTATCAGTGCTGCACTGGGAATGACTGTCACGACGTAAGGGCAGTGGCTCAGCGGATTGGCGACTTCGAAGTATTTGTCGTTCTCGATTCTCATGGATGAGCTGGTTTAGAATGCTCAAAGTGCAAAATGCTTTGCAGTTAAAGAATTGAAAACTCGTTTCCGGGCAGGAAAGTGCTATTTGGGCGGGGAGCGAAAGCCCGCCTTCTCAAGAGCGATTGGCTCGTGGAGTCCAGGCCGGGGGGAACACCCCGCCCATCTCGGCTACGATTGGATTACTAGCTCCAGCAGCCGTTCTACGAAGGGGTCTTAACTTTCCGCCAAGCGGCAGCTTTCACGTACAGAAAAGCGGCGAGTTGATAATATCTGTGCAGGCTGCGAAGCACAGGTTCAGCTCATCCCAGGAGAGTCGAGAACGACGCCGAGCCACTGCCTTTGAGTTGTAAGATATAATCATGGGCCTCTGGTTAAGAAAATACTTGTTACTTAGTATTATATAATGAGATCACATTCTTGTTATTATCTGAAAGAGCTTTTATGCTCTATACGTCCAGAATTTCACCTCAATTACATTCTATCTGTAGAAATTGGTAAACATGGTTTTTGGGGTCCCCATTGGGTTAAAAAATCGCAGCGATGCCCTCAAAAACTCCGAGGAACTTCTCGAACTTCTTGAAAGCTCCACTCTGAGGATTTTGGCAAAGGAGCGGTAGTGCGTTGCCAGAACGAGTAAAGGCCACTTATATGAGTGAAGTTTCAGTTGTTGTCGTTACTAAAATGTAACCTCAAATTGGAAAAAGGTATGAGGTGCTCCTTGATTCCCGATGACCCATACTTCTATTGCTTGATTCAAAGGTAAAGATTTTGACAGTGATCGCCAGGAATATAATTTTTGTTTTTTTTTCTGTTTTTTATTGATCGCACACACTCATCAGATCAACTGAGATAAGGTTTAACTCTTTTGGTACAAAATGTTTGTTGATAGGCGAATCAAATGGCCTTCCTTCAAAAATACTGGCGATGAATAGGGAGCAGTTACGAATTTTTAGAATCAAAGTGAAGGAACTTTGAATCAATCTAATAGAATTTACTTTTGAAGCTTGACAAGCGAGCTATGAATATCAGGGATCAGAATTTTCATGAAATGTTCAGAGCCGTAAGATTTTGTGCTTTCATAATAATTTTTACAAATATGCAGCGCGCGTTCCAAGAGTTATAAACGAGGTGGAAATAAACCACATTTTTGTGCATTAGACAAATGGTTAGGACAATGTAATTCAAGGCTTAGCATGCGAAGCTTTTTTTGGGAGGGGGGGGGGTGGAGGCTGCAAAATGTTCCTTCTGCGCTTGTTATGCAAAGTACGAATATCAAAGATTGGTGAATATTCTGCTACCATTTTTGTTGTTTTCATGAATATGCAGTATGTATAAGCAACAAATCGAGGACGAAAATTCTATCAGAGATTAGCACTTTTCTCAACGGAAGAGAGGAACTTAATATGTTGAGAAGGTGGAAATTTTTCCTTGATCATATGCAAATCGTGAACATTTAGATATAGTACCCATTTATAAAGAGACCGCAAAAACTTAGAAGATGTCAATTTCCTGAGAATTTTTTGCAATGGTGAGTTAGCTAATCAAAATGTGATATTTAGTAATATTTGACTTTCTTGTAGAAAATTGTGATTTGGTTTTTAGCTGCTACGCTTATTGGTGGATGCATGGCGCAGATCGCTGTCAGTAGAATTTTGGATAGATTTCCATGATTGTACTTGATTTTTCAGGACCTACGCCGCATTATTAAAGATCCCCTTCACATAATTCACAAGCGCGACTTTCGTAACCCCTTTCAAAATAGAAGTCCTCAACAGCAAAACGATCGCGGGCAACAAATGGCACAGCAATTGCAACAACAACTGCAACAACAAATGCAACGACAAATGCAACAACAAATGCAACAGCAACAGCAGCAACAGAGGCCACAGCAGCAAGGAGGACAACGATGGCAGGGACAAGGAAACAACATGGTAGGAGGGCTTTGGAATAGGAACGGTTGGAACGGCAATGGACGAGAAAGATTGATCTGAAGGGTGAAAAAAATGATTTTTCCGATTTTTCCATCTCATAGATTTCGTATAAACTCTTCTCAGAAGTTATCATCAAGGAAGGGCTGAAAAAGAGAGATAAAGACAGTGATCGCATTTTTTATGTCTCAGTAAGGCTTGTAGCATACAATGACATATGTGGGAGGGGCTGGGGGCGCAGTTTAACATTTTTAAACAATTTTTTTCCTCACTTTCTACTCTCGGAAAAAATTCGGCAAAGGCATATTTGAGTACTGGTATGTGTCTACTGTATAATGACCAACTTGGAGTTCTGTAGGATTCTTTCTCACAGAAATCGAATTTTTAGGCGACAAAATTTCTACCGATTTTGGCTTCAAAATTTCCATGGAATGCGGCTTAGGCGGATCCTCAGTGGATATATTTTGAGCTTAATCTGCTCTATCGAATGATACCCCAAGTTTGCTGAGAAACCAAAAACACCTCATTATTTGAAAAAAGGATTACTTTTGGGACAACCTAAAAGTATTCAGATAGGAGCACACCCTAAATAGATATGGTTTGTGATACAAAGTTAATTTCAAATATAAAAATACGTTATTGATACTGAGTAGCGAAAGTTTGTATGCGATTTGAATTTTTCCCCTCATATGCTACCTATCTACTTGCTCAATCAACAGTCTGTCCAGCGAAAAACTATTCAATTCGCTGCCTTTTTGTTTGCTCAAACTGTCAAACGTTAAAGAAGGACTTGTTCAGGAAGAGAAAGACAAGGGCAAATTTGGGTGTCAGTTGCCACATTATACCACCCTGTTGGCGGCAATACCAGTGTAGTGTCCATAAT